TCTTACTCTGTGAAATTGTAGATTGTGCTGGTGCATGTCATGTGGTGAAATTCCGGACTGTGCTCCGTTCTTTCGTAGTGGGCGGAGCTTTCCCCTGCTTTGCTTACCAAGCAAGTATCTTTGTTAGACTCAGAACACACAGTCTGGGATCTGAGCTGAACCTCAGTTATGCTCTTCTCTCACGAAGCTAAGATGCAGGCGAGGATGCCAGTAGAGCTGGGGCTCCCTGCTCAGCTTCCTCCTTTACAAGTCCTTCTGGTGCCTGGAGCTCCTGACACAGTTCTGTTTCTTCCGTCCAGACTCAGCATTTTCTACTGGAGCTTAACCATATCTTGTGTGCTGTGAGCCGCTGGCTAGCTAAAAGCCACAGCTATTTTAACTCACTTAGCTGTTACTTTCTCTCAAGGGTCAACTTGCCAAGATCAGCCTGGCTCGTTCACTTTCTAGTCCCTTATGATCAAAGTGGTGGGGCTTTTTGAACTTGTTTTTTTTTAAGTTGAGAGCTATTATCTTCATGATGGTCAGGCCTGCCAAGAACTTACTTGGCTTTGCTGAAAAGGAGCTATATCTCACTAGTGATTACTTTCATAACCAAATTATGAATATAAGTTTATTCTTTTGCAGTACTGGTGATAGGATGGAGGTCCCAGGCTTGCTAGGTAAGTGTTCTACTATCTCTCCCCAAACCACTTTAACTTTATTTTGGAACAAAGTATTTATAAGTGGCACAGGCTGGCCTTGAACTCATTCTGTAGCCCAGGGTGTCCTCATGCATGTGTTTTATTGTTTATCAAGTTGTGAGAGGCAGCTTTGCACTCTGGAGTGCTCAGCATCCTAGCCTGGACTCCTACCATTTGGAGATTGACTTAGCAGCATTAGGGCCAACACCAGGGCCAGGCTTGGGCTTCAGTCTTTCACAACAACACAATCAGGTCTGCAAATGTCCTGCTGTTTCTAGTTGCATTTTATCCTCATGGTTACCCTAGGAGTCCGTGGTGGATGTGAGGAGCAGAGGGGCTAGCCATTTGGCAGATAGGGACACTGAAGGTAGCTGAAAACTTGAACTCAGAGGACCTAGCTGTGACCCATGATCTTTCTTCCATACATCCCTAAAGGTGTGTGGGATCTCTTCCTGGTGATGGAGCATAAGGCTACCCAGTCTCCTCTAAGGCTGTTCTCTAGGCCTTGCTTTGAGCTCTGCTTCTCTCCATCACTGGTAGTTGGGGCTGGTACAGAAGGCTCTCTCAGTGTGGGCCCACTCTCCCTGCCATAGGATGGCTTATGGCTTATGATGGATGGTTTGTGTTCACGGGGGTATTTTAAAATTTGTCATGATTTGAACGTGCTCTCCAACAGCTCTAGTATGAGAAACATAACCCTCAAATTCACACGATAATTGTGCTCGAAATTGTGGCCTTAAGGACATAATCAGGACTGGATGAGGTCACAGGGTGAGGCCCCAATAATGGCATCAGTGGCTTTTTAAGGAGAGGAGAGATGGGACTGTGTCTCAACATAGAAATCCCCTGCCATGCGAACTAAATATTAGAAGTCCCTTTACAGAAGCACATCACAGTTTTCTGTGGATGGAATAATTCCCTGGGAGGTAGGGTTTCCAGTGCTAAAATCAAGTTGTCTCATGGACCCACTGAGGAGCTGTGCAAACAACACACACTGCAGTCCCTCTGCCATGGTATAAGGCCCCATCACTGCTCACTCTGGGCTGATGATATTCCAATTCCTTGCAGTTACTGTGTGGAAATGTCACTGCTGCTCCTGTGGTAGCCCTTTGATGATGGAGTCAGTGCAAATCCTTGCAGTCACTCCAGGATGCTGCCAGCCCCAGCCTCCAGTGAGCCACCTGGGTGAACCGCTCACCACCTCTCATCTATGAGCTAAGGACTGTAGGATGCTGAGCTTACTGACTCAGCTAGGGTCTGAGATGCCCTTAGCACAGGGCTCTTCTCAATGGAGTTCTCATTATAGTGTAAGGGGTAGAATATTTGGGGGATTAGGGAGAATCCTGGGCTAGGTTCAAGAGAGAGAAGGAAAGATGGGGACCCTGAGACATTTCTCTCTATCTGAGCATAGAAGGCTGAAGGGAGAGGGCAGATCTGGGGCCAGGGACGGCTTTACTTTTCCATATGCAATTGACAAGCCCAGGATTAGGGTGAAGCAGTAGCCCTGTATTATAATATTTGTGAGGACCTTGGGACAATGTATAATTAAGGGAAGTAGTGTTTAAACACATTATTTTAGAAATTAGAATGAATGCAAAATATCCATGAAGTGCACGGTGCCGGTGATTTCAAAGACAGGCTGGGACTTCATTCCCCGGGGGACTCGCCCTCTTTTTTTTTCTAATCTTGGCCTTGTTGGATTCTCTTTCATTTCATTATTTTTCATGAAAAATAATATCATGATTTATCTTTAAAAGAAAAGCTATTGTTACTTTCTGTTGTTATTTATGTATATGGGTGTTTTGTCAGCATGCACATCAGCACACCAGAAGAGGGGACTGGATGCCATGAGGTTACAGTTACAGACGCTGTGAACCACCATGCGGGTGCTGGGTTTGAACTCAGGGCCTCTGGAAGAGAAGCTGGTGCTCTTAACTGCAGAGACATCCCTCCTGCCCTATTACCATTGATGCGTGCGTTTGATGTGCGAGGTGTGCATGCCGCTGTGCGTGTGGGGGGGGGGGGGGTGGAGGAGTCAGTTTTCTTTTTCCACTTAGGAGCGAGTCCCAGGGACCGTACTCAAGTCTTCAAGCTTTCATAGAAAGCAACTTCAAGCTGCTCAGCTGTCTTTCCAGCCTCTGCCATGGATTCCCATATTTATTGCAACACTCCTCACAGTCACCCAGTTAGAGACCCAGCCTAGGTGCCCTGAATGTGTGATAAGAAAACATTAGTGTGGACGCATCATGGAGCATCGCTCGGTAGTGAAGAAGGTTTCGATATGACATCTTCACGCACCTGTGGAACATATGAAACCTTTCACTTTCTAAAGTGAATGCATGCCAATGAATATGAGACATTTGTAAGCTAAAAATGAAAAAAACCCAGTGCATTTAAATCCTAGAAGGGAGTGGAAAGAGGATGAGAGAGGCCAATGGGGTTGAATATGACCACAATGCGTTGTGTGCATGCATGAAACTGTTAAAAACGACATTAAAAACGCAGAAACTTTGATTTTAGTGTTTTGGCACCTCTTGAATTTTGCATTGGAAATGCATCTTTTACACCATCATCCTGGCCCAGGCCGCACCTACCTTGTGCCTGTGTCCTGGAAGACGGCAAAAGGAGCCTCTTCCCCTCTTGTGTGACCGCTCCCCGATGGCCAAGAGCCCAGCCTGGATATACAGGAGAAGGCAGGGCATACCTTTCTTCTGGCACTTCTAGAGCCATAGGTCTCTTTCCTTACCCTCCCAGGCCTGGCACAAGGGGTGCCAGGGGAGAGGGACCCCAGATCTGGCACTTCTATTTCAGGGCAGACGACAGCTTCCTCTGCCAGCCCAAATGAAAACTTTCCTCTCCCAGGCTCCTCAGTCTCTCATTAGCGGTTGTGTTTGTGGATAATGGCTATAAGGAGGGGCAATAAAAAAGTCCAGAATGTGCTGCCCGGCCTGTGCTTAACCCTTCTGCAGGGAGTACATGCCAGTGCTGGCTGAGGTCTTAATGACACCGTGGACCCAAGGGCCTGAGCGGGCATTTGCTGTGCAGCTGGGTTATTGAATCCCCATTAGTTAAAAATGCCCGGCCACAGGCCAGGAGCCCAAGAAAATAAGTGGTGACAGGTGAGAGAAAAATAGCCTCCCGGAGGCTCTGTGGCCACTTCAAAGGCCGTAGCCTTGCTAGGTAATTGAGGCCTAATGGACACCATGACCGGGAAATGGCTTGGCTACCAGCATCTCCTGCACACAGGAAAGCAACGGATGGGGTCTGGAGAGGCCACAGGCTGGCACGGCCCTGAGTGGCCCCTGTAATTAGGCCGGATGGAGCCAACACCTCTTCTGTCAGGAACTGAGCAGATTCCATTCTGGGAGGGGAGGCCAGAGGATGCCTTGGGACAGGGGCAGGTTCCAGGGAGAGAGGCCCTTTACCCACACTTGCTGTACAGTGTGGCACACGTCGAGGAGGCCGTTCTGTGGGCATGCACCCCTTGGAGCTCGTTAGTGCTGGTGCGAATGTTTACACGCATCAGTGTGAGCTCATGTCTGTGTGTCCTGTGCGCAAGTCTCTCTCTCTGTTCACCGCTGTCACTGCTGTCTTTGGAATGCCACTCCAGGAAGCTACCACAACAGCCTGTCTCTGTTCGAGCTCTTTAAATGACCTTGTCCAGCAGGGCAGGCTCCCTGGGTATCTAGAATCCCAGCTCAGGGTGCCAGGCAGGCCTGGCTTTGTACGTAGCAAGCCCCATAAGAGGGTAAAGGAAGGAGCCCTCTAGCCTGCCAGGAAGATAGGACCCCAGTACCAGGCTCCTGGAGAGAGGCTGGATAATAGAGTAACTCAGGCCCAGAGGCTCAACCCCCCTGCACATGCCCTCGAAAGACTTACCCTGCCACTATTTCTTATCATATTTTTTTATCTAATCGGCTCAATTTTCAACTTAAACTTACTATTGAAAAGAATACTTGATCACTACAAGAAAGGAAAAACTCATTGCCATTTGGATAAAGGCTGGCTGCTCAGCAGGCCAACGTCACCTGCTGGTGCCAGCTCAGGTGACTGCTAAGCCCACGGGTGGCACTGGGGAGCAGTTCTATAGCTTGGCTTTAAGTTGGGCCACACAGCTCTGTTGGGCAGATCACCTGGTCTCCATGCTTGTCTTCCTCCTCAAATGGAGGCAAAGAAGAAGTTGGGGAGAGGGTTGACACAAGTGGGGGAAAGTTGTTGTGCAGGGCTCCCCAAAGCCCTCCTTCTGTTCTTGAGCTAAGACAGAGTTCCCGGTAACTGCAGGTATGTAGCCAAGGATGATTTTGGCTCCTGCTTCCAACTTTGTACTACATAGTTACAGGCATGCGCTACCATGCCCAGTTGTATGTGGTGCTGGGGATCAATCCTGGGGCTTCACGAATCCTAGGCAAGTGTTCTAGTGTTCTACCATCTGTGATTCATCCTCAGCTCCAGGTCAGAGCCATTAATGTCTGGAACAGAGGCTTCTTTTCAGATGTGCGTGACCTAAGAGTGAGTGTGTGTGTGTGTGTGTGTGTGTGTAAACGTGTCAGGCCTCAGTGTCTCAGACCACTACGAGACAGCTTAAACCAAACCAAGAGGAGTTTATTTTACAAAACCATACCCTACTCATTTCAATGTGTTCACATGGCAACCACCTCTAATTCCATTGACAAACACTGGATTCTCAGAGCTGCTGTTGGCAGTGGCGGTCAGAATCGCCCCATTCCACATTCCTCCAAGTCAACAAGTGGATCAGCCTAAGCACTGCCATAATTCAGGGTCCAGCACTCAGGTTTCATGAGGGAGCACCAGAAATGCCACTGCAACCACTAGACCATGGCACAGGGAGGGGCTGAGGGTACAACCCAAGCTGCCCCATGCCCAGTTCCTTCCTGGGATGGACCCATCCTGGAGGCCCGCCTGCATCCCAGACAAGCCTGGGCTCTGTGGTGTGAATCTCAGGGCTCGCCCACAAGCCAATTTTTCTCTGCCAACTTTGGGGACAGGGAGGTGGGTATATAAATATGCTCTCAGCTAGCTATTCACCTCCCTTCTGGATTGGGAATCCTGTGGCTGAGGACAGGAGCCTGTGTGTGCCTGAATGCTGCCATTGACAGCAGCCAGGAGGACCTCCATGCTGGGAATGATGAGACACATATTCTTGAGCAGGATGGAGCATCAGGGACTAGGCAGGAATCTAGCAAAGTAAGGATCCTTTTCATTGAACTCAAAGTGGCCTCATGAACCACATACACATGTACATACACGTTCATATCCCCCACCCTTGATTATCACAACCTTTGATCTAATCTTGGAGATTTTTCAAGGACCATGTCCTTAAGTCCAGATCTATCTTGCAGCCCCACAAACATAGCAATCCCTTTTTCCCTCATGAATCTTCTCTGGATCCTTGTTGTTGCCCTCTTATCTTGAAGGAGAAGGAGGAAGAGGAGGAAGGGGAGGAGGAGGAGGAGGAGAAAGAAGAAGGAGAAGGAGAAGAAGAAGAAGAAGAAGAAGAAGAAGAAGAAGAAGAAGAAGAAGGAGGAGGAGGAGGAGGAGGAGGAGGAGGAGGAGGAGGAGGAGGAGGAGAAGGAGAAGAAGAAGAAGAAGAAGAAGAAGAAGAAGAAGGAGGAGGAGGAGGAGGAGGAGGAGGAGGAGGAGGAGGAGGAGGAGGAGGAGAAGGAGAAGAAGAAGAAGAAGAAGAAGAAGAAGAAGAAGAAGAAGAAGAAGAAGAAGAAGAAGAAGAAGAAGATTATGTTTCTAGGGTGACTTCCTGTGTAGTTCCTGTTTTTACTCGGCAGGTGACTCAGAAGCTCTGATGCTCCCCCTTGGGTTCCCTTAACCAGACATCTACCCCCAGCAGTTGGAAGTGGAACCTGCAAAGGCTACTACTGCTTTCTTCAGGTATTACCTGGTGCTGAAGTTCTGGGAAGACCATCCTTCCCTCACAAATGACACGCTTGGCCACTCCTGCCTTGGTTTTGCTCTTCAAGAACTCAGTCCAAGCCATGGGGAATAAATCAAGAGGCATAAAATGGGTACAAGTTTGCTGGCTCTATTTTGTCAGATTGGACAATAACAGTTATCCACCAGTTAGAGTCTCTAGCTGGGGTAAACACGCCAAGATCATTCTCACGGTACTCTCACATACATGTGTCACGTACAGGCAGAGCCATGTGCACACAGCCATGCGCCATTTTCAAGACTCCTAGTGGGTGCCTGAAGCTATGAATAGAGACCCCAGAACCACACATGTTTTCCTGTACGCCCAAGTCTGCTAAAAAGTATAATTTGTCATGAGAAAATGACAACAGGAAAATGTGGCAGTAGCTATAATAAAAGTTATTTAAGACTTATGAACTGTGGGCCGGGCTTAGAGGGTCAAGGCCCTTACTGCATAAGCCTGATGACTGAACTCGGCCCAAGGAATTCACAGTGGAAGGACGACCCTGACTCCAGCAAGCTCTCCTCTTAATCTCACAGGTGCACTGTGGCACTTGTGCCCGTATCACACATGTTAGATACATGCACACACGCAACAATTAGTAATCACATTAACAGTAGTGCTACGATGTTAAAAATCAAATTAACTCATGAGTTATTTATTTCTGGAACATTCCAACCTAATGTTTTTGAACTCCAGTTAACTTCAAGGTCACCAAAACTTTGTGGAGAGTGGAACTTTGACTAAAGGAGGGCAGTGGTCCATGCAGACCTTAACACAGAAGTGCAGACTACAAACTTGCAGTCCTGACAGTCTGCAGCTTGTCCACACACAGCCGCATCACTTCAGTCCATTCATCAACACACAGAGTCACATCACAGGAAGCACATTCCCGCCCCGGATCCCGTCCCTGTGAACAACAGCACCACAGCCTTGCTCCTTGAGTGAAAACACCTCCATGGGTCCGCACCACACTCATGCATACCCCATAGCTCATCATCTTACCCACACATGGAGTATCACTCTAATCCTTCGGTAAACTGGTAGCTTATTTCCTTCAAAAACAGCATAGTTGATCAATTTCCTCTCCCTGGGCTTCCCGCCTGTCAAAGGGGAGGAAAAGTTGTCTTGTTTGTGTGTCAGACCCATTAGCCTAGATAAACTGCTGGCCTCCTGGAATGACGAGTGGCAGACTAGAGCAAAATGAGTCACATAGCGAGGAGTGGGCTGAAGATTCCATCGAACGCCGGGGGATGGCTTATTAATCTCACTTCAGGAGGCATTCCTGAAAAATCAGTCTCCTTTATTAATGATATTTCACTCAGCTCAGAGATACACCTTTTATCCAGCCAGAAGAGCAATTATCTGTTTAGGCCAGGAAACAATGTCCAATCCTGCCTTGGCTCTAGGGCAAGGAGCAGAGCTGAGAGAAGAGGGGAGAGAGAAGTATGCACAGGGGTTCTGCCCCCAACCTGGTTGCTGCTGGGCCCTTACACCTCTATCAGACTCTTGCTGAGCCAAGTAGCCTCTAGCTTTCTAAGAATGTGTGTGTGTGTGTTTGTGTGTGTGTGTGTGCGTGTCTATGAACATGTGTATGTACATGTGTATGTGTGTTTATGGCAAAGGGGCTCGGGGACAGACATCCTGATTGCTTGCTTGAAGCAGCCCATGTTGGTTTATTCACTCAGCGAACATCTGTGAGCATCAGTGTGTAAGGTCTTGGTGAAGTCCCTGCAGATGAGCAGTGTGTGGCTCCTAGCCCTGTCCTGAGTCATTTTTATGCTAAGGTCTCATCATCAAATCCTTCCATGATTACAGGGCAAGGTCTTATATAGAAGATCATGATAGAAAAAGGAGGTATTTTCCAAACTTATACCATTTGTCCTTGTCTCCTTTGTGATAGCTGTTGTATAGATACAGAAAACAAAACAAAACAAAACAAAACAAAAACAAAACAGGAGGCACTTATGCAGCCAGCTTAGTGGAGCCTGTAATCAAATCACTGACCTTCAAGTGATTTTTGGCACATCACTGAATGTCTACATCCTATATTCACTCATATAACAGGTACTGAGAGAGTGCCTGCTGTATGTTTGCTCCTGAACCTGCCTCTAGGCAGATAGCTGAGATACCTTTCTTATCAGCTAGGAAGTCATAGCTAATGGGTGTGAGCATAAAATAACCCCTATAACATAATAAAGGACACACACACACACATAATAAAGCATCCGTGAGCAGATGGAAACAAATCAGCCTTCCCGATGCTATGGCCAAATGCCCATGAGGAGCAACTTAAGGGAGGGGGAGTTATTTCAGATCACAGTTGCATTGCCATCCATCATGGCGGGGGAGGCAGCTGGTCGCAGCGTGCCTCATTGGGAATTAGAGAGGGTAGATGATGACGCCCAATTTTGTTTATTATTGTTTTTCATTATATTCAGTCTGAGACCCAAGCCCATGGGATGGTGCCACCCACATTCAGAGTGGGTCTTCTCTGCTCAGACAAACCTGTCTGGAAACCCTTTCTTGATACCCAGAGGTGTTTCCATGGTGATCCCAAACCCAGTCAAACTGACAGGATTAAAAATCACAGGTAGAGAGATGGATGTGATGGGTATCCACGTAGGCTTGAAGTTAGGCTCTTTGACCTTCCACCCGGGTTAGCCACTGATCATCACTGGCACTTGTCATGGAGTCTTGGTTCCCTTGGGGGATCAGCTTTCTGATCTGTACCATGGAGCACCATGAGAGTGATTTCTTGTGAGATGACATGGGTTCATATATGCAGAAAATGGTCCCTAGTGAAAAGAAGCTTCTACGATAGACTATGATAGCCCAGTGTCTGTGCTGAGAAATGAGCCAACAGAATAGCCATCCCCACTGTGTATGTGGAGGGGTCTGAGCCCTTGCAAAAGCCCACCTATATGCTAAGGGATTTGCACATGCTGCCTCTGGGGAAACTTGATCCTGAGATTCTGTGGACAGGCAGGAGCTCTTCCGGATGGGGCTCCATGTGAGCAGTACGGACAGGGTGGTTTGTCTTCCATGCAGGGCTGGAGAGCATAGCTTCAGGCCCATCAAGGCCTCAGTCTATTGTGGATGGCGGTGCAGCACCACCTGTGACTGTACATTGGTAGCCCCTTGTGTTTGGTCCAGGAAGCCCAGGTCTAGTCGCTTCTCTGGGATAGGTCTGAATCTCCCTCACTGATCTGTCTTGCCCTTGGTCAAACATGATATGCCTTTCATACCTCACACTCATCACCTGACTTCCCGAGGCAGCTCTTCCCACGAGCCCTGATGGCTCCCAAGTCTTCCTTGAGGGGCTGGGGTGAGTTGAGTTTCCATGGGTACAGAGGAGGGATGAGCTGGCAATAGAGGGTTAGGCAGAGCACAGCAGATTGTCCCCAGTATGGGAGAGATGACTTGGAATCTAGGGTCCCTCTGGAGGAGCACAGAGAGCTGTTTGACTGCTGAATTGGACTGAGATATCCTTACCCTGTGTTCCAACCCGAACCGACTGTGGAAGGCTTGGTCACACAGCATCCTGCTGCTGCCTGGCTTGCTACACATCTCTCCCTGCTAGCCTAGGCTAGCGGAGCTCCCTACAGGTGACCTTTCCCATGGCAGGTGGGAGGATGCAGGTTAGCTGTGGGCCTGGCAGGAGGTCCTCACCTAGGGTACACAGTGCCCAGCCTGCCCCACGGGCAGTAGAGGCCGGAAGCCCATCCCCTCTTTGTCAGCACTTTGCTGCCCCCCCAGCCCTCCCCACCCCAGTAATTAAAGAAGAAGAGCCAGTACAGTATGTCATAAAATCTCTCTGAACTACCTATATTTACCCCTGAAAGTGAATTCTTTATAAGACCCGGGATATCAAAGCGGTCGGGGATCAAAGTCGTTTTAATAAGCCAGGCGAGTGTGCCTGCCCAGCCTGGCCTCCTCTTGCTGGCCTCCGAAGGCACTTAGGACACCCCTTGGGCCGAATTGTCACTCTGATTGCTCATTGCACAGGCCTTTAGGGGACCAGAAAGGCTTGCCCCTCCCATTCCAGATCCCACCCACCCTCCCCTTTGCAGACTTTGACTCCTGAGCCCCGAAGGACCATCCGGAACCATTCACCAATCGCAGTTTGCTAGGGAGGACTACAGCCAGGGATGGCAAACTTGCCCACCAATGTACTCAGAGCTGAGAGGGGCAGCATTAAACACAGGAACAAAGCCAGTTAAAATGGTTCCCTTGGGGTTGGTTACTAGAACACGGCAGCTTTGATTTGGGTGTCAGTTACAGGGGTGTGTTCAGAGGAGAAAATTCCCTGAGCTGGATCATTAAGATGTGTGCATTTCTTTCTTTCTTTTTCTTTCTTTTTTTTTTTTTTGCAAGTGTGTTCTATTTCAAGAAAGGCTTTAAAAGTGCCAGCACTTCCCATAGGAATCAGCCTGTCTGGGTTTTCCGCAGAGCCAGGCCACCTTGGGTCACTTTTCCCTGTGATGTGGCAAGCATCTACCAGGAATGAGGCCTGACTGCACGTGAGAATGAGGGGAGCTCTAGTTTGTCCAAGGCCCTCCAAAGATGAGGTCACACCTTGACCTCCTGCCTACCCTTATGGGAATTTTGGATTGGGATAATGGCCTAGTGCAATGCTCTTATTTTTCTGAGGGGGCAAACTGAGGCCTAAAAGTACATTGAGACTAGACCCAAATTTTCCCTGTAGGTTTAGACTTGCTTTTTTTATATCAAGGGCTGTCAGACTACTACCAATGAGTCAAACTGCTACCTGCTTTAAAACAAAGTTTTATTGAAACAGTCTCATCCATTCACTTATATGCTGTCTATGACTGCTTTGGAGACTACAGTAGAACACTTGAATGCTGACATAGAGACTGACATGACTCACCAACCCCCAAATATTTATTATTTGGGTTTTCCAGAAAATGTTGCCTGGTCTTTGTTTCCTGTATCATATTCTGTCAATCAAAAAACACACAGGGTAGTCCCGCTTCCTGCCCCAGAGCCTGCTTCAAAGATCCTCTCAGAAGCCCAGACTCCTCTGCACCCCTGTGCAGGACCCATGATGGCTGCACTTTACGCTACAGGAGTGCAGTCCAGGCTCCAGAAAGATGGGGACAGTGAAGGACACTATTGCCCCAGGGAAGCTTTCTATCCTCTCAGGACCTCTGCACACCAGCCCCACTTAGGACAGGAAAGAAAACCTGTTTGGAGCTCAGGGTTTCCTCCCCTCATCCCTGGCCTTCCATGTGGAGCTGAGGTGTGAGGCAGCAACACACCACCATTGTCTGGTATCACGGAGCACTTTCAATGCTGTGGAATCCGCCTTAGCAAGTTTAGGGAACTATCCTGTGCTACCCCGGGCACCTGGGGTGGAGGGTGCCTGGCAACCAGACTCCTGCTTTTCAGTGCCTTGCTGAGCATCCAGGTTGCAATTATTATCTGCCCATGCTACAGATGAGAAAGCAGGAGATTTGGGGTGTGAGAGATTCTGGGTTCCACAGTGCTGTATGGAGCACCTTCCTCAGCCTCGCTCCCTCACTCTCTGTAGCTGTAAGAGTAGAGACCCTGTGCAGACAGAGAGCATTCTCACTAAGATGTTAGTTACCCTGCCCAAGGTCACACAGCCAGGGCATGCTGGACTTGAACTTGGCTCTTTGGTGTGAACCAATCGGCACGACTATCTACCTAGAGGGCAATGATAGCTAGGATAGCAGGGAAGGCCAGGGATGAGGGGAGGAAACCCTGAACTCCAAACTGGGCATCTGGATCGTCCCTCGGAGGTTCCTGGAGAACTCCTGGAATCTGCTGGCTCTCTGTTAAACCACTTTGCATCTAGGGGACCAACGAAGAAGATGAGTAGCACCCTCACAAGGTAGAACTCCACCCTGAGTTTCAACCCAGAAGCCAGGCCTGGTTAGAGTTAGCTCCACCTGCTACCAAACTGTCCTGGGGACTTTGGGATGCCCTGAGACTTAAGCTTCCTAAGAGGACCACAAACGGTCAGACAGTGAAAGTAACTTTTCTATAAAATGTAAGAGGAATGGGACTTGTGCCTGCCCTGAGACCAGGCAGAGACCCAGCCTTGCTTCCACGCCCATAGCCCATGTGTGGAGTTCCTCAGCCTCTCGGCTCCCAGGTGTCAAGCCACTAGTGGGTCCTATCTTTCTTTCGGCCTTGGCCTTTGTAGGACAGTCCTTCTGCCAGCACTATGCCCTTGGCGGGGAGGCCTGTGCTCCTGAATCCTGGTTCACTGGTTCTACTCAGGGACGCCTACCCCAATGCTGCTGCCTGTGTGTAGATAGCAGTGTGTGTGTGTGTGTGTGTGTGTGTGTGTGTGTGTGTGTGTGTGTGTGTGTGTGTGTCCTCCCTCCCAGATCCTCATCAGCCTCTCTAGTCTCCTTCTTCTGCAGCCCGGAGCTTGCAGGGGCCAGCAAGCTGTCTGGCCATCCGTGCCAGCCGAGTCTGGCTCAGAGCAGGGGCAGAGGTGCTGAGTAAGCACGGGCTGCTCTTCATCTCTGCTTCCAGCCAGCTTGGCTTCAGGGAAGGAAGGAGGAGCTTGTGAGCAGTAGAGTGGGCAGGGGCCACTTGGAGAGGCTCTTCTGCTTGTCAATCGCCTCACTCCACTGTTTTGTGGGTCCAGGGAAGAAGAGAGGTGCAAAGAGCCCATTCACCACTCCAACAAAAGAGAGGCAAAGGGCCCCGAAGAGTCCATGTGCAGAGGGAGGAGTGTCTTAGGCAAGAGAAGTGAGGGACTGCAGGGTGGAAAGGCCAGAACAGGCAGCAGCAAGCACTGCTGATATTGGCTTCTACAGGAACTAAGAAACTGACACTCAGAGAAGTAAATTGCCCAGGCCTCACAGCTAAAAGATTGTGGGGCTAGGATCTGGCTCCGCTTCTGGGAACATAGGTATGCGTGAGCACATACAGGCATTCCCATCAGGTCACCCCAAGCTCTAGAACACGGCTACTCCTCCAGGGCTAAGGCTGGGGAGGGGCAAGCTTAAAGCAAGTGGTCAGTCCTAAGGGCTGCTCCTGAACTTTCATGAACTCTCAGGCGACCGTCTCCTGGCATTTTGTGTCCCAGGTGTACTTTGACAGCCTCTCGCATTTTGTCGGTGAGGAAACAGAGGTTCCTGAGCAGGAGGGAATTGTGGGGAGTCTGGAGTGCCAGTAGGGGAGGGGCCAAGGGTAGGGGTGAGAGGTGAGGGGGTAGGGAACAGCACTTCCAGGAAGCAGAGCTTGGTCAGGAAGGGTCAAGAGGCAAAGCCCAGAAGCTTGGCTACAGCGAGGGACGAGGCTGTGAAGGGCATCCAGGCCGTATGCACACTCCTTCCTCTAGAAGCTTGCCTTGTTCAATTTCCGTTTCCCGTGTGACAGGCTGGGTCTAGGCCCTGTCCCTTCAGACTCTTCCAGCAGAATCCTGGCTCTGGCTCAGAGGTGGGTTGGGTTAATGGGGCCCCTTCTCGACAATGCCCATCCTGATTCCCTAGCAAGCTGTGAGGCTGGCACCCAGGGAGGCCCAGGCAGTCCCTGAGGGGCAGGAGCTCAGAGGGGTAACACCTTCCCTTCCTGATCACATGGGGGAGCAAGGTCAGCTGAAGGTCATCATGTCACTTAACAGAGGGGCAGTCAAGGCCCCTGGAGGCATCAGGCTGCTCTTGGGCTGGGAGGAGGAGCTGTGTCTGATCCAGCTAGCTGGATCCCTCCTTCTCTAGCAGGGGTGGATCTCATTTGAATCCCTCTACATCAAAGTGTGAGGTTTGCCCGGGAAGGCTTAAAAAAATTACTTTTGAGTTTTCAAAAGAAAATGTTGTGCTGACTTAAACATCAGAGCACCCTTAAAGCTTGGGGGATTGCACTATTAACATTTTTAAAAACCTTCTTACTGGTCCTCTCCAAATTCTCCCCTCTCCTGGGTCCTAGGGGCAGAATCCAGGTCCTCTGTTCTTCTGCCTCACGGAGCAGATGTTTCTCCCAGGGGTGCCCTGTGTGTCCCCCCGCACCCTGAACAGGTCAATAGTACAGACTCTGTGACCTGGGGAGGGAGGGGCACTTACCATCTTAGCGTGGACGGCACCACATTCGCCTTCTTCTCTGGTTCTAAGGAGTCTCCTGCAGGTTGGCAAGATCTGGGTGAAAGACGGGTAAGAGGCCATAACCTGGGCTACAGTGCCATTGCAGGATGGGTACATATGCCGGCATATTTGCTCATTTCTCTTCAGGGAAACGTCTCTGCAATATCAAACCCCTATGGGAAAAATGTAAAAAAAATGATAAATAGTGCTTTTGTGTGTGTGTCTTGTTTTAAACCAATATGATCTCAATTCTTTTGTGGGCTTTGAAAGTCCATGCGGGAATTCCCCCCTCACCGTAAATACCTAGCGTCCGGGCCTTATGGCATGTGATCTGTAATAAACTTCAAAAGGACACCTTTGACATTTTAGATAACTTGCAAATGATGATGCGAGCGATCTTTTGCCACTACAAAGAAAGAACAAAAGAACCGACATGAAAGAGAAATCAATAAACATATGGCAATTAATAAAACATTTTCTATGAATACCCTACAAAGAGTTTTACAACGGTATAAAAACCCAACAGTTGTTTCAATGTGGGTTTAAGAAGTCTCAGCTGGCATATTAAGACATCTGCACTGGGCAGCACACGGGAAGGCACAGAAAAACTGGGGCCATGGTTTGGCTCGTAAATCCATCGGATGAGAAGGCGCCATCGACAGAGGGATGGCTAGGGGAAGGGCCGGGGAGTGGACGCTCTCGTTCTGTCTGCAGGAACAGAAAGTGAGAGGCGGAGGGGAGAGTGGGCTGTCAGCTGCTAGGAGCCCTTTGTAGGCTAGCCGTTTGGAAGTTGGGCTGAACTGGGCTCCGTTCCCACAGTTGGGTTCTGCAGCCCACCTGGGAACTTGAGCTTCTCAGGGGAGTCAGCCTGGGGCCACAGGGTTCCTTAGCAGAAGCATGGGGTGACCCACGGTGTGTGTGCAAACCCACAGAGTGGGACTGCTGCCGTTTGAAACACTTCCTCCTCCTCCTCCTCCTCCTCCTCCTCCTCCTCCTCCTCCTCCTCCTCCTCCTCCTCCTCCTCCTCCTCCTCCTCCTCCTCCTCCTTACAGGCCAAGTTCGACTCCCACCTCTATTGGACGGACCACTAGGTGGCTGCTTCCCACCTCTTTGGCCTCGGTTTTCACTTCTGTGCAAAGCTGTCTGTCCACGATTCCTTCCAGCTTCCTTGTGCAAAGCTCAGAGGCACATGCTTCCAGGTAGAGGTTGGTAGTAGAGCCCACTCCCAGCCTGTGTAGACTGGGCCTTGCCGTCTGTCTGTCTGTCTGTCTGTCTGTCTGTCTGCACCCCTCTCCAGTTCTTTGTCTCTTGGTGGGTTTTATGGCTTCCACTGCAGTGAGAATTCTTGGGGTTTCTGGCCTTTGAGCATTTAGGAGCTTGCACTTGCCTCTTCTGCAGACCAGACCTGGGTGGAGACTCCCTAGAGGCTGTTGCTGCTGGACCTGGAAGCGTCATATCTCCCTGAGTTGTAGGTGGAGCTATTTGGGGAACCCCAGTGAATGTTCAGCCTAAGTCCTGTGGCAATGTGATTTCCAAGAAGTAACAGAGGAAACAGGACAGAAGAGGGCAGACAGCAAGGGAGTTCCAATGAGACATGCCCTGCTCTTCAGTGTGCTCTCAGGCACACTACTAGGTGTGTTCAACTACAGACTCTGTGTGTGAGTGTGTGTGCATGTATGTGTGCACATGACTGTATACACTGCTTAGTAGGAGACAGCCATATGGAGTAGGAAACAAAAATGTTTGGCCCCTGGGTCTTGAATGACCTTGGTTAATATTTTAACATTGTAGGGACTTAGTATTCCTATCTCTAAAATGGGTAGTAGGGGTAATGTTACTTTCCTGGCTGTAAAATCTTGTGATCACAGGGTTTGGGGAGAGACCTCAGAAGTCCTGCAATCACAGGTGTTCTCGGGTTAATGACAGGTGGTTGATGGTCCAGCCTTTGGAGGGGAAGGTGGGCTGTCGGAGCTGGTCTCTCGTGCACCTGTTCTTCTCATTTCCTCTCAACCCACAAAATTCTACCCACTCACCACAGCCAGGTTCTCCAATCCCATGATGATAGAGACCATCTGGCTCCACAGTTTCTGCTGGCTAGTGCCTCCCAAGCAGCTGTGGTGAGTGACAGCTGATTGGTTCTGGCTTGCATACCTCCAAGTTGGAGAGCTCACTCCTTTCTCAGGCAGGCAGGCTGCCCTGTCCTGGCAGCAGGAACACTGGGAAATACTTCCTGACCCTGGGTGGAAACTTGGCTCAGAGTTCACAGTCTCAGCAGCAGCTCACAATCAGCACCTCTAGGGAGGGGGCCAGGCCTGATGCATTTCTTGGTTGTGCTGGCAGTGGAACCTGTTCTTGTACCTGCTAGGTAAGTGCTCCGCCGCTGAGCTCTAGCCTCAGCTCTGGGAAGGATGCAGAAGCATCCTAGTCGTTGTCATGTGCAGGCGAGCTCAACTGCTGGCCTCTCGGTGGGACCCCACAGGGCCCTCTGGGCAGTTTGCCTCCTGAGCAGGCAGGTAATCCCCGGTGTGTGTGGGAGTGCCTTTTTCTTGAGGGCAGCAGCAAGCCTGGTACACAGAGGCCCTACCATGAGGTTTTGAACTGGTGCCCACTGTTCCCAGGTACCTTGTCACCAGGATGTTTGTGGAACTACAGAACCCATGCCCTCCACCTACTGATGGCAATCCTATGTGAGAGGGCCCCATAAAATGGCATTTTTATTGAGTCCACTGGCCCCCAGAACTCTTCCTGTCATTCCGTCAGACCAAGGGCAGTGCCTGTGGTGCTGGGAACCCCTGGTCTGTATCTTGGACTCACTGTGAATGTTTCTATGCCAGAGACTCTTCATCTATAAAATCTGAGTGATCACATCCACTAGAAGGCCAAATGTCCACACGCAGAGAGCCAAGGAGTGCAACGTGCACAGCTGTGGATGGCAAGGCACATCTGCTGGGACAGTACTCAGGATGGAATATCAAGGCGGGAGTACCAAGAGTTCAAGGCCAACCTGGGCTACGTGGTGAGACCTTGTCTCATTTTTTCTTTTCCTTCTTCCCTCCCTCCTCGCTTCCTTCCCTCCATTCCCCCTTCTCTCCCCGACTGCAAACAAAGGGGACAAGGCTGGGAGAACTCACCTATCTGTGTAGACTCTGAGATGTGGCTCTGTGTTCCCAAGCCAGCTCTCTCCCACACTGACCAGAGCCAGAACTCCTGGAAGGGGAGACACAGACGTTGTCTCCAAACCATTGACCAGCTAGAACACAGAAGGAGGGGTCATACTGGAGAATCCGTCCCTTTGTACTTTGTGAAGAGCCCAGGTGACCACCCATTCACTGTCACACTGCGGTTGAGATGACATGCTCCCCATCCATATGCGTGTATCTTTCTAAAAGTGTCTCACCTCAGCCGTCACTTTCTAATCCCCTAAATCCTCCCCACCCCTCTGCACACCTTGCCACGTTTCTGCGTCTCCCAACAGGTCAGCAAGATTTAGGCTTCCGACTCCTTTTCAGATGAGAACACATGCCAAGCAGCCCAGAGTGGCTCGTCTACAGTCTACAGTGCCAAAGATGGTACATGTGTCCCTCAACGTTATGGTACCCTAGTCTGGCAGCACTGCAGAAGATTGGAAAAGGACAAGGGGCCAAATGAGACTCAGTGCTAGCCAATCAATCCACAGAGACCTTGGACTCAAACCGAGGACCCAGCTCCCCTCTTTGTAGCCTGTGGGCTCAAGGAAACTGTGAGATTACCCATGAGGTCTCAAGATTATCTTTGTGTCACTTGGTACATGTCGAATCCAAACAGCACACAATCTGAGCACAGGTTTATCATTCCCATACCCTCTCCATGGCTGAGCTCACCATCAGGATTCCCCAGCCTCAGACAACCACAGTGGGTGAACTCAAGGACAGGGCTATCTAGGGCGACTTCTTACCTCTTGGTTAGCTTTCAGGAAATTAATTTCCCGTATAAAATTCAACTTAAAGTAAATTATTAGGAAGAGAAGCTCCACCTCCCTCCCCCATCCAAAGGGAAAGCATTTGCCCCCGCTTCAGCGTGTGAATTAAAGATCAAGGCTGCGGCCTGTCATTAGTGTTACCAGAAGTGGGGCTTTTGTAAATTTCATAGGCTTGAAGATTCTCCTCCACTTAATAAGTTTACTTTTTCCAAGGTGTCTTGATTCTGCACCATCCCTGTTTTGGGCAAGACTCTCAGCTAATTGGCAGCTGCTCGGCCCCTGGGCACTGCTTTTTGAGAGAAAAGCACAGGAAAGGAGCCGCTTGCCACCACTTATGAGCTGCCCTGGGTGTCCGGCCACCCTTGGGGAGCAAAGGGGTCTGGGGGCTGGAAGGGTAGAATGGACTCGACTAGGCCCAAGACTCCTGGGTCTTCTGTGTGCAGCAAGTGCCGGGGCCTCAGAACATGTCGGAGGGAGAGACAAGAAAAACACAGAGGACAGCACCCAGGAGCCAGAGGGGCTTGCAGGGTGGCAGCCTACAGCTTAGGCGCCTTTCTGCTCCAGGGCAGGTGTCCGACTGTGAGCGCATGCTCAGACCACAATTTGCTGAGGTATCGATGCCAGATTCCTATCGCGCGCACACACACACACACACACACACACACACACACACACACTTATACACATAGACCACTAGATCTCCAGACAGCATGTCCCAGGTGCTCCTACTTTGGGGATGCCCTCTCTGGGCTTCTGACTTCCTGTCTCACTGACGTCTTGGGTTCTTTCCCCATCAAATCACTTGCCCCCATCTTGCCTCAGTCAGACTGGGGAAAAAAACCAGGCTAACTAAGTCCTCTTTTCTCCTGTTCCTGCCTGTGGCAGACATCATGAATCAATCCCACCCCTGCTTCTCTTGGACTCAGGATGTAGAATCCATCAGTAACAGTGCTCTGGGAAGCCACATTGAATCATTCCCCTGAAGCAATGATCTTAATCGCCAAATCCCACAGTCTGAGTCTACTTTTTTTCTTCTGGGATAGGCAGTACCAGACCCGGTGCTACAAGAGCATCAGCACAGCAGAGGCCCATCGCCATACTGTTGAGAGTGACCACATACCACATAGTGCCAAGAGTTGCTGGGAGAACTCAGCAGTTACTCTATATCAGCCATTGACCTAGGCACAAAACACAGGATACTACATGTCTTTGTTAGGGTTTTTATCGCTGTGAAGAGACACCAGAACCATGGCAAGTCTTTTAAAGGGAAACATTTAATTGGGTTTGCTTACAGTTTCAGAAGTTATCGTCATAGTGGAACATGGCAGAGTGCAGGCAGACATGGTGATGGAGAAGGAGCTGAGAGTCCTACATCTTGATCTACAGGCATCAGGAAGTGAGCTGTCTACCACACTGGGTGTAGCTTGAGCTTAGGAGACCTCAAACACCCACCCCAACAGTAGCAAACGTCCTGTAACAAGGTTACACCTACTCCAACAGGGCCACATGTCCTAAAAATGCCACTCCCTTTGGGGGCCATTTTGTCTCAAACCACACTACACCTGCGTCTTGTAACAAACTGGTAGGTATTTTCATCACCAGTTCATGCATTGGAAAAGTGAGGCACAGAGACAAAAGTCACACAGCGTGAGGTGATGGAGCCCAGATGTCACTGCACAAGGCCATTCACTTAGTGATGGAGCCCTGGAACACTTCTTAAGCCATGAGATAACACAGCTTCCTAAAGTGGCACACAGCCTGCAGGTCTGGATCACAGAATCCACCTGGCCCTATGACTGGGTCAGAAACCTTACAGGGGTCAGGCCTTTAACCAACGGTCTGTCGTGCAGCTGACCGGGGACATGGGGTGGCAAACTCTGCTCCATGCCTTGACTCTACAACCTTGTTTCACACTTGGAGCCCGAGGCCCAGTAGTCACACCAGTCCCAGATGCCCAAGTGGCTGGCTGGCCGGCCAGCCACAGGCTACTCCTATAAGTTCATCACATATGAAAAGGCCTTCTTCAGAAAAGAGGCCACTGGGCTCTTCATAGCTTTATCTGCACGGGGAGGGAGAGAATGTTTCTTTACATCAGCTCTCACTCAAGGCTCTTAGTGGGACTGTCCAAGACCAGAAAAAGTGGAGGACAGCACAGAGTAGCTGGCCAAAGATTTTGCTAGTTAAGCACATGTCACCTGCAAGGTACAGCTGCCGCCTACCGGGGTGTAGTCCAGAGGCTGGGTCAGGAAGAATGGATCCTCAGTCACAGCAGCTAACGATGACTTTGACTAAGTTATTCAGCCTCTCTAAGCTCGTGTTCCTCAGTTTGAGGATGGGGCTACTGATGCTGTCACCTCAGTGTGGGGATCCTGTGAGTCTGGAACAGTTGTCATACAGCAATGACTTCTGCGGCTGTAACCTCACTCCAGTCTTCGCAGTGTTTGTGGAGGGGTTTGATTATCCCCAGTTTCCAGAGGCAGAAGCTGAGGCTGACCATCCAAAGGTACATTTAGATGACTGGGCTTGACCACTAGTCCTGCCTAAGTCCAGGGGAGGCAGGACTCTTTCTCCTGAATGGAATTCAAGGTCATCTGACTATTGAGGGAACAGGCAGAACTCCTGACTGGTGTCCATGCTATTTCCAGGTTCTTGAAGCCTGGGCTTCAGCTCTCTCCCTTTCTGGACCTCCAAGGCCTTGGTACTACAGGTTGGTCAAGGGCCTGAGGCATGAGCTCAGGACCAGACAATAGTTCTGAGTCATTCCTGCTCATGTCCTGGAAGCGTGACTATACTGGAATTGCACCAGCAACTTCCTTTGTTCTGTGGATCTGGATGGACACCTAGGGCAAGGGCTAGCACAAATAGTCCTTCTAGCGTCTGGTATAGTCTTCTCTCTCCTTCCTTCTCCCACTCCCTTTCTCCCCAGGTTCTCACTGTGTAGACTAGCTTGTCCCCTAACTTGTGGTCCCATTGCATCAGTCTCTGGAGTGCCATGAGCTCCCCTCACACTCCACTTATTCAAGATGAATTTCAGTCCCTATTCCCCTGGGAACAGGAGCCTTTTGGGGAGTGCACAAACTGTACTACTGTAGACATTTGGTATTCCATTCCCAGCTGCTTCTTCCTTGGGGGTGCGCAGGACGGCCCCAGAGCATCTGTTAGAAAGCAGTTGTCTTGGTAGATATACATTGTATGGAAGTTTCATCCAAACTGAGACATTCCATCCTAGAGGGAGGCTTAAAAGACTCAGGAAATAAACTACACTAGTTTTGGGAAGTTTCTGAAACTTTCAAGATTCACAAAAGGTCTTCCAAGTCCAGGTTATATAAGCTGTAAGGATGGCCTGGGAGAGGAGACTTTCTGGCAGGTCAAGCTCTAGGTGGCTGCTTTCCTGAATGGGGTGAGCTTTTCAGAGATGCAGTTGCCCATGGTTCTGTAACTAATTGCAACACACTCACTGGCTTGCCAAGTTGAACTCTGGTAGAACCCTTTCTCTGACCTGTGCCCTATCTGGTGCCTTTTCTGGAGTAAATTTGTTCCTGTGTTCCCAGGAAAAGTCACACATCACTGCAGACAGACCTGTCCCTACATCATGAGGGGTTTCATGAGAATAAGGCTTGCTATGGAGAGGGCTGAGATGTTTCCAGGATCTGTAGGCCTGGTCTGCCTCCGTGGCCTGGCTCTGGGACACGAAGGAGATGTTTGTCAGACTAACATTGCTGTGCCTTCCTTCTGCAGGGCCTAGGTCAATCATGCTATGAGACTGTCACTTGCCAATCCCAAATTCTAAATCGGAGCCCTTGGGACTAGAACAGTCCTACCAACAAGAACTACCAAGGAGGCTAGAGAGCCGGAACTGTGGCTGTGTAACCCAGCATTTGGTTGCCTTACAAGCTGCTCTTGTATACCGATTTAATCTGATGGTTGATAATGGCTATCATGTCCACAGGATCTAGAACAATCCAGAAGATAAACCTCCATATGTGTGTAAGGGAATTTCCATTTGGGTTAACTGAGATGTGTAATGTGTAGTTTTCCTCTGCCAGCCCTTTGGTTCCCCCCCACCCCGCCAGCCGCTTGGGCTCTGCCACAGTTGCAGCCCCCAAATAACACACAGGAGGCTATATTAATTATGAAGCTGTTGGCCGTTTGCTGTTTCTTACTGGCTAACCCATAATTGTTAATCTAAGTATTTCTCTTACTGGAGAAAAGGGTTTGGACATCTTACTTCTCTGGCGGGCTACATTGTCTCTGCTGTATCTCTCTTTCTCAGAATCCTCCTCAACTCCTAGTCCCACCTATCTTGCTTCCCTATAGGCCAACAGTGCTTTATTGACATATACATGGGACTTCCCATTTAGAGATGGGAGAACCCAATCTGAGGGTGGTACTTTTCCATTGAGAGAGTGAGCTAAGCATCTATATCTAGCTCCATCTGCTCCCTCTTGGCTCAAGCTCCTACTGCCATGCCTCCCCCATCATGAAGGACCTCAACCAGTGAACCAAAATAAACCCCTTCTTCCTTAACCTGCCAAAGGCAGTTCCTTTATCACAGCAGTAAGGAATGTATCTCATACACTCCTCTGGGCTCTTACTGCAGGTGGGCAGATCCTCTGACCAGTGACAAACCGGAGAGTCAGAGTCTGCAGTTCCTCACAAAACACACAGGACCAGGAGCCCTGGCACCTTCCAGAGCTGTGGGTCTGACTCCTAGGAGCAGAGGTCATCTTCCATCTCTAGAGACGAGACGTCCTCCTTCTCTGTGCTATCTAGGAGCCCGCAGAGACTCCTTTGGGGAAAGATCGGTATGAATGACTTGGTTGTCACCATCCCTGCATTGAGCATACTCACCATCTCTGGTGATACAGACACTTTCAGTTGGAAACACATTTGTCTCTGGGGAGAAAGGCACCTACTTTTATTTCTACAAACAGTTCCGAACTGGGCAGGCATTTAGTTGTTTTTGAGCCTCCGTGGAGGCTAAAGAGGCATGGCAGGCACCCTGCACAGCTGGTTACCATCAGATTGCCCTGCTAAAGGTAAAGTGTGTGCCCCTCAGCTGCCATCCACCCCTGCAGTCAGACTCACATGGAAGCCGAACATCAGCAGTGCGCCTTCCCTTGGGCAGTGAATCTGAACCTGGGTTGCAGTTTTCCCAGTTCTTGTAGAACAAATCTCCTGTTCTCCCTCAGAACTACATGCCCCAGCTACAGTGCCTTCCCCGCACCAGAATTCCCTGACCTGGGCAGCAAGCCCACTGGAGACCCTTGTGCAGAGCTCTGAGCCCTGGGCCTAGAAGCTCTACCTCTGAGCCTGAGTTTTAATAATTCCAATCCCCTCCTTTGTTTATTCCCATGCACAGGCATGCATAATTACCCAGGCATGCATATGCATACCTATGGTGTTCAAACTTCAAAGTCATTGATGCATGCCTACACTTGCATGACTGTGCACACATGTATGCATAACCACATCTACTCATGCACATCACATTTGGATATTCATGGTCTGTAATTGTCTACTGTACACACTGCACACACACAAACATTCTCTGTATGTGTTTATGTATACGCATAAGTACATCATTTGTATGCAAACACTTACTCTGTCTAGATGCATATCTGCAAATAAAACTACATGTTTGCTATCCACACGCATACCACATATGCTCACAAGCACATGAATGTGTGACCACACCCAAACCCACGCCCTGGCTGTACATGAAAAAAAATGCCCTGTATAATAATGCTCAGAAGAATGTGGGAGTAGCCAGGTGTATTCGTTTGTACCCTAGCACACACACCTCCCATAGACATATGAATGAACACAGCTCCTATGTACACATACAAAATTATTGATAGCAGAGTTCCTAGGCACGAGGACACTATTGGACACCAAAAACGCAACCGGTGTGCTTGTGTAACCGACGAGCACGCACAAATGCCTGGGCGAGTTACTCTCAAGCTCGCGCACATCACCACCTAGAGCACTGGAGGTGCGCCTGGGCACGCCTCAGCAACCCCACGACCTGGCTGTAATTGTTCCCAGCCCGGGACTGTGCAAAGCGCGCCGCGGGAGCGCACGGCCCCGATCCCGCAGCGTTCTGCGCGCCCCCAGCCCCGCTGCCGCCCTGCCCGGCCCTTGGCCATCAAAAGGCCGCTTTGGGCGCGGGCACCTGCTCGCCGGCCGCCGCCGCGTTTTATCTGGCGCAGTGAATAATTGATGCGCCGCTGCTTTGCAGTCAAACGCGCGGGCTGCCCGCGCCGCCGCCGCCCGCCGGCCGCTGTGATTTATTATTTACCAGCGCGCGTCCGCCGTGTAAGGTGAGCACTGTGGCTGCTCGCAGAACTGTTACAATCTGGCCTCGTTAGTGGCCTTTCTTGCTGCCTCTCCAAACGGCGGCCCCGCTGATTGATTTTCTCGCCGAAGCCGTGCCATGAAATCCCAGCGCTGCTGCTCTCAAAGCGGCTGCGGAAAGCCAGGCGTGGCCCTTCTTCCCCAACAAGAGCCCGTGTTTGCGAGCGCGGCTTTCATGGCGTCCCCGGCTCCGCCGCCGGCCCCATTAGCACGGCGCCCGGCTCCCACCGTTCCTGCGGGCGACGCTAGGCTGCGCGAGGTGGTCGCCGGGGACCGCGTAGGGCCTTTCAAGCCTGCGGCAAGGCGCAGCCGCCCCGCGACCACAAAGTTTTCTTGCCTTGGAAGTTTTCAAACGCACGAGGCTGATTCGAGCTGGGGACCGGCTGGCTCTTCCTGGGACTCTCCCAGTGGCAGTGAAGAGGAGTCCCTCTGGACAACCAGCCCAGGAAAGGAAGGCATTTTGGGATTACCCACTGTATGCCAGGCATCTGCCTCGTTTTTAGTTTTTAACCATTCAAGGTCGACACTCAACAAGGACAGGCCACAGAGATAGCAAGAGGAGCCAGCGATGCGCCCAAGCCGTCCAGTGCTAAGCCACACAGTATCTCTTCTGGGTTCTACCACGGCTGAACTCCCTGTGTGAGTTCAGCTCTAAACTTACACATCTCAGGTTCTCTGTGTGGGTATCCAGATCTCAGGACCCAGGCAGACTCTCTGTCGTTGGGGGCAGCGGCCACATTTCCTGGATGCCAGCAGACCTGAAATTCAGATGACGGGTGGGGCCTGGCCCCAAATATTCTGGTAGAAGGAAGGGACCCGTTTGGCCAATTTTCTTAGGGGAGAACCTGGGACGACAGTTAATAAGGTTTTGGAATTTTGTAGTATGGCCCAAGCTGGATGGGATGGGAAGTCTGGAAACTGACTCCCAGTTACTGAGCAAATGTTGCCGCCCTTCGGGAGGGCTTATCTGTCATAGAAGAAGCAGGGCTGACCCACTTCTTTTCATCTATTCTCCACAGCGTGGAGTGGCGATGAGTCTCTGATATCTGTCCTGCTGTGATGGGACTGGACAGTGGGGTGCTGTGCATGTTCCCTCTCTTAGAGTCAAAGGATGGTCCAGGTGTTGTCTGACTCTGGAAGTCATCAGTTATTCTTACATCCTAAAGGGGTTCCATAGTGGTCTAGTCACTGTATGACCTTGGAAAGCTAGAGGACACATTTACAATCATTTAGGTCATGCCCCTGCTGCAGTTACATGACTGGGGGGAGGGACTCAGGAGAAAGGGATTTGCTTGCATTTACTCATAATATTAGTAGTATACAGGACCAAAGCCAATGATCCTGCTCTTTTTTCTTTTTCCTTTTTTTTTTTCCTTCAAGACAGGGTTTCTCTGTGGCTTTGGAGCCTGTCCTGGAACTAGCTCTTGTAGACCAGGCTGGTCTCGAACTCACAGAGATCCGCCTGCCTCCGCCTCCCGAGTGCTGGGACTAAAGGCGTGTGCCACCACCACCCGGCTGACCTTGCTCTTAATTGACAATTTTTAACCTTTTCTACTTCCCATAATTTGGCATTCTTTCTTCTATCCCATAATAACACACCAAGAAGATGTGGAGACGGCCAGGGCTGAGTCCCTGTCATGCCCTCCAAACAGCCTCAAGCACTGTCATGGCTCAGGTCTGGGTTATTAAGTTATCCCCCAGACACTGTTGACCTTCCTTTGACTTGATGGTGAAGGCCTAACCTGAAAGAAAACAATTACACAAGGGAAGCAATGTCTACAAAGTCCAATCTGGACTCTGACTACTGCAATATGGAAGGAGCAGTCCGTCAGTCCAGGCTCTGACAGACCCACCTGTGAGCAGTGCTTACAAACAGCTTGGTTCTTTTAGCCAAATCAGTATTGTGACTGTGGGGGGAGAGGCCCCTGAAAATGAACATCTTTCAAATATATCCAGAGACTTCCTTTTCTAGCCCCAAATGGAATCACAGGAGTTGGTTTTAAGTTCAAACTGAAACGGTGACAAAACTGGACTAAATTGATATAATTTTGAAGACACCAAAAGAGAGGCGAGTTCTGTAGTCATCTAGACTGGTGATGCCTCCAGGGAGTTTCTGAGTCAGGGTACAGGCAGGAGTCTAGTGGATCTCTGAGTTGGAAGAGGGCCAGAAACGTCCAGGGAGAATAGCTGACTGAGGTGCCCGAGGGAGAGTGTGGGAGAAGGGAGCTCTGAATGCAGACCCATAGGAGGGGCCTCACCACTCGGTACGCTGTCAATCAGTAAACTTCATGAGGTGAGAGGGAGCTACCCCAAAAGATAACACCAAATGCTCTCATTCACCCCGAGCTGGTGATGAGGCATGTTAATTCTCACCAGACAGTCTGGAAAAACCTGTAGTTCTGGGGGCACTGGGTAGACTACATAGAGGGGTCTTGCCTTTGTAGTATTAATTATTCGACTTTGACCAAATGCTGCTCTGATCCTTTGACTAAATGCAACTTGTTTCGTAATGATAACAGATCAAGTTCTCAAAAAGCGTTGAGTAGACTTAAACATCCATGTGTTTAGTAACGGAGTTTCGAGAGACAAAGTAAAAAGTGACTGAGCTGCAAGCAGAAATGAGCAAATCCATAACCAGACTTGGAAATATCGATGCCCATTTCTCCACAGTCGATAAGAAAGACAATCAGTAAAGCTCCAGGAAGCGGTCCAGCCACAGTGAACTTGACAGACGTTTATAGAACACCCCATCCAACCACAGTGGTACACTCCACAGCATTTAACAAGCTAGAATACTTCTGAGCCATCAAACAAGTGTCAGTGCACTTAAGAAGTACAAAGTCAGTTCTCTGATCACACAGAATTTGTCTTAAAACTCAGTGGTGGAAAAAGTACACAAAACGCTTAATATTTGGAATCTAAATAATAAGCTATTAAAGGGGAAATGAAAAATTAGAAAGAATTTTTGAAATGAATATAAATAAAGAGGAAAAATGTGTGTTGCATCTAAAACTGTGTGTATATGAGGAAATTATGTAAAAGGCATAGTGGCCTGAAATCAGTGGAAAATAAAACAACAAGCAAACAAACAAAGGAAGTAGGGAAAAAACCTGAACAATAAAGCTTAATGTGGAAATAAATAGAAACAGAAAAGCATAAATAACAAAGCTTGCACTTTGAGGTTGCTATCAAATGAGGTTTATCCTGGGATAAAGCAGGTTCAACACCTAACTAATCAAGGCACACTCACTGTGTTGACAAGCATTTATAATGGATATTTCAGTAAATTCATGGAGGTGCTAAAAACCGTGCCATGTCACACCTTATACACACACACACACACACACACACACATACACACACACACACACACACAGAGAAATTCTGAATAAAAGGAAATATTTTCAAATTGATTAAAGTATTTATGAGAAACCTACAGGTAATGTTTTTTTAATCTTAAACTTTTTATATTTATAATTATTTTATTTTATGTGTATGGATGTTCTGCCTGCATGTAGATCTGTGCAACACATGAGTGTCTGGTGCCCATAGAGGTCAGAGGATGGCTTCCCATTCCTTGTAACTAGAGTTATGGATGGTTGTGAACCACCTCATCAGGTGGGTGCTGGAATCTGAACCCGCGTCTGTAAGAAAAACAGATGTTCTTAACCACTGAGACATCTCTCTAACTACCCCTCCCAGCTAATGGTTTAAAGATCTTTCTTTCCTTCCATCCTTCCTTCCTTCCTTCCTTCCTTCCTTCCTTCCTTCCTTCCTTCCTTCCTTCATGTGGGAGTGTTATATGTGCCACAGTGTGTGTGTGTGTGTGTGTGTGTGTGTGTGTGTGTGTTGTGTATGTGTAGATTGTGTGTGGGGGTCACAGGACAACTTGTAAGGGTGAGTTCTCTCTTTTGACACTGTGAGTTCTGGGGATAAACATCAGGTCATTAGGCTTGGCAGCAGTCCCATTTAACCATAGAGACATCTCAATCAACCCTACTACTAACATAATGATAAAATATGATTGTTCTGATCTTAAGATCCAAAAGTATACCTACATTGGTATTTAGTGCTGTTCTAGAAGGGTCTGTCTGGTGTGATAAGGAAAGAAAAACAACTAAAAAGTGTCCAGATTGAAAAGGAAGAAACTAAGTACTTTACTGGAAAATTGCATGACTGATTGCAAAAAATCCAACATCTGTAAGAATCTGTCATAATTATCAGCACAGCAACAAGGTTGCAGCATTCAAGATCAATGTTCAAAATCAATTAAGTTCTCATATAGTATAAGTGAAAAATTGGGATTTGAAATAAAATACAGCATATAAATATTTAAGCATATATAAAACTAATATGTAAGATGGTTGCACTAAAAAATAAAAACACTAAGGTATGTGGGATAAGTGTAGGTGTACCATGTTCATGGATTAGAAGGTTCAATAGTGGCAGGGCAGTGGTGGTGCACGCCTTTAATCCCAGCACTCGGGAGGCAGAGGCAGTTGGATCTCTGTGAGTTCGAGGCCAGGCTGGACCGACAGCCTCCAAAACACTACAGAGAAACCCTGTTCTCGTTAAACCAAAAAAAAAAAAAAAAAAAAAAAGAAGGTTCAATAGTGTTAAGACATCAATTCTTCCCAAACTGATCAATTAATTTAATGCAAATTCATTCTAAAATCCACACAGCAATGTCAATGCCAAGTGCCTGGAAGAGCCAACTGAAGGTCAAAGTTGAAATGTACTAACACCTTATGCCCGCTATCAATACAGCATCTTACAGTGTAGTCAGTACAGTGTGGTGCTGGTGTCGGGACAGATGAACAGATCAATGAAACAAAACAGAGTGCATCAACCGGCCCCACATACACCTCCACCGATAACACACCCTCTACAAATAGAATTGAATAAGGGATAACCTTCCAGATAAATAATGGCAGAGTACACGGATATCCATATGCAAAAACACCCTCGACACCCCTTTTGTCCTAAATGAAGATTCACTGTAGTCCTTGAAATGGATCACAGATCAAAGACATAAATCCTAAGGCTGAGCTGGGTACTCACAACTATAATTCCAACACTGGGGAGGCAGAGGCAAGTGGATTTCTTTGAGTTCAAGACCAGCCTGATCTATATTGTAAGACCCTGTCTCAAACAAACAAATAAACCAAGAACCATAAAATATAGAATTCTAGAAGAAGATAAAGGAGGAAAAAGTTCCTATAACTTTATATTAGAAAAGGGATCAAAACCATGTTGCCTGAAAATAAAAATTAAGGACTTCTGCTGCTTGCAAAAAATAGATGAACTGCAAAACCAGTGAGAAAATGTAAGGCATAATCAGAATATATAAAGGGCTCCTAAATGTTAGTAACAAGGAAACCAACAGACCAGTGAAAACATGCCAAACAGAGGAGAAGCAAATGAAAAATAGGCACAC